TACAATAGTACGTATGTGTAGTACATACGTACATGCATACAATTACCATACAGCATGGACTATAGTACCCCGGATACGATATATTCCATAGCTAAAATCTAAGTTAGTACTAGAGTATTATAAAAAAGGTGTATTTTATATAAAAATGATATATACTACATAGTTAATACCCAGGTATTTCCTTATGTAAAGTACCTGGGTATCTTGTATTCAACTGCGAAACATTTTTATAGAGGTACTTTGATGTGGGGGTACTATGGTCCGTGTTGTACAGTAGATAACACTAAAAAAAAAAATCCGACTTCGATTATATTATCGAAGTTTGGTTTTTTTGGCATCGCTTAATCAATTAGTAAATATATAAATACCATGATAGTAAGGATGCACAAAATATGATAAAAGGATGCTGAAATTCTTTAAACCGTTTGTTGAATATATTAATCGCTGCTTGTTTAAACGGATTACTTGTAGGAATTCGATAAATCGTTACTGTGATTTTAACTAAATAATTAAAGCAATCAGCTAAATTAGCCGTATTTGCTTCAAGTATAGTAATAGCTTCCAAATAGATCGAAGTTGGCGACATGCAGTAAAGAATTCGTCGTCATTTAGTAATGTAAGAATTTCAGGATTTGAAATAATATCCTGATGTTCTGTTAATATCTAACGTATTAAAAAAAAATATAATTAGAAAAAAAAAATACAGCAATTAAAGATTTTATTATAAAATAGTTACTCAATCAAATACGGGTCGTGCACGCAAAATAGAATCAGTAGTAAAATATAATGAGGCCTAATGTGTTTTACACCATAAGTGAAGTCCTTCTAATCGAATTTTTATTTCATCTAAACCTTGTCGTAGATAAAAGTTTCCCCGATGAGATTCTTTAAAAAACGATACGATCTTATTACATTTACTAATCAAAATTTTAATATTTTTTATTTTAATCAGATCAGCCGCAATTAAATTTATCACATGCGCTGCACATCGAATCTCCCATATATGAGAATAAGACTCTTGAATCTTTCGACGTGCGTATCTGCAATTTGATGCAGCGTCGGTAATTAGAGCTGCAAATTTCTTGTTTCCTATATCCTCAATCAAATTAGATATTTCCTTAGTTAAAAAGTCACCTGTGTATGCTTCAGATGAATAATTTTGTAGTGCAATAAGATATTCTTTCCGATTGGTCATTGCCACAATGTAATTATAAAATGATTCTATATGTGGCGATGTCCAACCATCTAACACTTAAAAAATAAAAAAAAAAATTAAACAATTAAAAGTTGTATTGTTAAAAGTATTAAGGCTTATTGCCGGTTTTTAATTAAATAATTATTTCTATATTTGTACAATAATAAGGTACTGTACAGATATACGTATTACATATAATAATGTATATACTTAAGGTAAGATTGTCGCAATGTTTAAGTTCACTATAAATTGTGTTGGTTACTCGGGCAACTTCAGTATCTAAAAGACGTCCTGAAAGTGTCGTTCGTGAAGGCGAAACATATCTTAGATTCAAGTTTTTAATAAAATCTCTCATGAAGGGATTTTCAATAATTTCAAATGGGATTCCCATCATAATCCATGCTTTTAATAGTGATTGGTCAATACGATTATTTATTTCAGGAGGAAGAGGTTCATTTTCAAAGGTTTGGAAGTATCGGTAGGTGCTGATAATTTACGAGTATATTGGTTAATTTTTTCAGTTAATTTCTTATGCCAATATGTGCTAATGTCTTCAGGACAAGATGCGCAATGGTTAGCCAAATGGGCTTTCATAGCTTGAGGTTTTTCACGCATCCAGCTTTGGTTGCAATAGTAGCATGTTGCTTTATAGTGACTATTGCCATCATTATTTTCCCGTGAATAATATACCAAATTTCATCAAAATTTGGACCGCTATTTTTTTGTTTTTTTAGTTAAAGGTTCTGAAGAAGAGCTAATAGTATCCGAAATATTTGAGTCTTTACGACTTAAACTTGCTATTGTTTAAAGGATAAAAAAAAAGTTTTTGCTTTTTATTTTATTTTATTTTTGTTTCGAATAATTATTTAATAAATATGCTATATTACATTACAAACATTTATCACAATTATAATACGTATACTTATATTACTCACTACTTCTATTACAACTTATAACATGCCATAATACTTGATACATACTTATATTACTACTTACATTATAGTGTATGACATATATTAATACTTACTACTTCTATTATGGCCTATCAAATGCCATAATACTTACTACTTAAATTGCGTCAATGCTGCAAAAGTTGCAACTCCAGTAGTGAAAGTCGTAACTCCATTACCTCAAAATGTCTGCACCTCTATAATTGATTGATTGAGATGCTTGAGAACACCCTTATTATGGTTAAACGGACGGTGAAATTGCCGGTTTTTAGACTAAATAGTTTGTATAACAGTCATTTCGGAATCTATCAAATACGAGTTTCTTGTATGCTTACATACTCCACAGCATTATCTAACTTTGCTGCCTTTTGATAACAAAGAATGCTCCATGACTATCCCTTTCAACTTCAAGTTTATAATATTCATTCCACAAGCATGCTTAGTCTCCATTGATTCTTGACAAAAAATGAATGCCTTGTATTCATTCTTTTTAAATTCTAATTTCATTAAAAAAAATTTAAATACATATTCTGTTAACTTTACCAAATTCTGCTGCTTTTTGATGATAAATAATAGATAAATAAATGTGTCATGTTCATTCTTTTTAGTTCCATTTTGATAGCAGATCCAACCCTAAATAAATGCTTTAAAATCAAATTAATATAAACCGATTTGCATAATATTATAGATCTGTTAATTTGAGCACTTAACTAATAAACAATCATTGTGCCTACTAACAATTCAATACAGGTTAAATAAAAAAAATAAACTTGTCTGTTGGTATGATCTTTCGTTTGTTGACTTTGTAAGTTGGCATAGTCTTTCGTAATTGATCTTTCAAAATTGGTACGATTTTTTATAAGTTGGAGTAAGTTAATTTAGTAAGTATAAACATTTCAAAAGTAGAAGGTCAATGAACACAAAACACAAGCATGGTTGTCGGGTAATTTCGGTATGTTGTAATTTTTAAAATGACAGATAAATATATATAAAGGGGGCATGCCCCAACCCTATATACAATCAAAGATCAGGTGTAACATAAAGAAATTCACTTTGCAAAAATCGCATTTATTGTTATCTCAAATTTAGTCTAGTAACCATCCTTGAAGCTCTAATAAAAAAATTTCTTTGTACAATTTTGCAAACTCTAACCCAAATATAAAAGAAGTTTTTGGCTCAACAACATTTGGTTTTCAAGTTTCACTGACAGTAAAATTGATCCTATTCCTTGTAAAAATTATAGTACAAGAATTGTATTTAAAAACCTTTACTATTTATACTGCAACACAGCTATGCACATTTTTAGGTTAACTAAACGATTGCTTACAGGCAGTATTTGTATCTCAAATACACTTAAAACTGGTCATGTTGCTTATTATATAACACAAACTACTTGTAAAAAGGTCTTTTTCAATCAGAAATGAGAACTTGTTAAGTTTAAAAATACATTTAGCTCAGATCCAGAACTTCATATCATTCTAGATCCTCCTAGTTCTGGAAAAACTGCATTGATCCATGAGGTAATGAGTAAAGGTAATTTCAACCCTTGCTTTATCACCTATCGTGAAGGATAATTTGACATACTAAAGAGGATATATGATATATGATTCAATATCTTTACAATTCGAACCATTTTTCAAAAAATATATGGATCTTTTTAAAAAGTTATTTGAACAAGGAGAAGTTAATTATATAATAAATAATATCTAATTAAAAGTTAAACAATTTGAAGGGGATCCATTTATTGAGAGAGAAATTACTTCTAATGATGTCTGTAAGTTGTTTGATAATATTAATAATGCTCTTCCAAATTGGATCTGTTAGAATATTTACAATATACTTCCACCCATTTTGGTCATCAATAAAGCAAACACATTTAGCTAACTTGGAAGTTCAGAAGAGAGAAAAATTCTTTTTAAATTAATAGATTCAAATTGATATACTGTATATAATTTAATATCCGGTGACTAATGTAAATATTACAAGACTTTAGTTGTGTAATGTATATATATCTCTAGTTGAGTATAGTAATAAGATACTTCAAAACATCATGAATGATGTTAAAATTTAATAATATAAATTCTTCGTTGGAAATATAATAATTGAAAAAAAAATTTAGAAAGCTTATAAAAATTATGAAACATATAGGTGTTAGTATATCTTTTATAAATCACACTTTCAAAAATACAGATATATTGAAAAACTTCCACCATTTTCTAGATGTTCCAGAATTTATAAAAACAGTTGTAATTTTAATATTTCTCAGAGCAGAAAATGAACGAACTCAAATCATAAGCAAGCTAGAGAAATTTTTTAATACAAAATCTGAAAAATTCTATTTAAATATTGGGAGTACAGGCTGCTCAGTGATTGCTCTCTATACTAGTTACATCAATCTTTAAGAATTATCTTAAAAACTTTATGAATTTCTGTTTGATTTATTGATCTGAATTATAATCCAAATCAAATACCTAACTCACCTGGGTCAAAGCTCTACCGCCATCATCCCCAGTTCACCCTTATTTTAACCTTAGGTGTTACTTAATTTTTTGTTTTTATATGAATTATTGATTTGCATATTACACAAATTGCAAATTAATACCTATATACAATATACTATATGTAAACTAAGAGAGTTAAATTAGAATGTAAAGTAAAATTAATAATTAAAAGGTATATATGAATATTAGTAAAACTTATATTTTTAAAACAAAACTTAAAATTTTTATATTAGCTATTTTTAGTATCAGCTATAATATTTATTTTAAAAATATCAAAAATAATGAAATTTAAAAATTAAAAAAATTAATATATTAAATATATTAAAAAAATGTATAAATAAAAATAAAAAATATTAAAAAGTAAATAAATCTATTCTAAAAGAAAATTAGTATTGTAAAACAAAAAATATAAAAAACAAAAATATAATATTAATATTGTCATTTTTATAGTTTTATACTAATTAGTATTAATTTTATTAGCTAAAATTATTGTAGTATATTACACTATCTTATATGTTCATAAAATGATACTAAAGATATTTTTGGTATTTTAAATTTGATACTTTTTTAAAACTACAGTAATACAAAAGCTACTATTGGATTTGTGAAGATATACTGTATATAGGTTTATATATTGTAATTAGTTTTTAAAAAATATAGTAATAAGAAAGTTATATATGTATAAAACACAGTGTTGTCAGCAATAGATAAATAAAACAATAAAGCAATAGAATGTAGAATAGAATAAAATTTTTATTAATAGAACAAAAAATTAACTAGATTATAATTAATATTAAAATAGCAAAAAAAAATAGAACAATAGAACAATAAATAAAACAATAGAATTTAGAATATAATATTATTTTTATCAATAGAACAAAAAATTGACAACACTGGTATAGAAGTATAATTAATATTAAAAAGTTAGCAAAAATAAAATTGTGATTATATAGATTTTGTGACTCCAGAAAAAGTAGATATAGAGAGGTTTGACTGTGTAAACAATATTTTATATAATTTATTATATAATAAAAATTATTAAATATCTAAAAATAAAATTATTTAAAATACAGTATACAGTATTATAAATAGCCATATGCTATATTAAATTCCGAAAATATTTGATACGTAGTAAATTTTTTTATTAAATAAAAATTATTAATCATAAATCCGAGTATCTTACGTTTCACTAAATTTTAATCTTGGCTTAGACTCGGATATGATGCAGGGGGTCTACCATAAAGGGTATTTACGGCAGTTAGACTTCTCTAGGTGCGTGCCCTTTGGGCTAGTCATTTAACCGACATCACTTAGGGTGACAATTTAGCATAGTATTGGTTTTAGTATATATTATATTATTGTAAATTGTCATATTATCGTAATGTGACATCAGTAAAATGAAATAATACGGGCCAGTGCCCAATGCCCGGTTAATAATTTACAAGAGGTAGAGTAGACCAAACGACTCTAGCATGATCATTACAGAATTCTGACGGTTAATATCAAATGCACAACCAACCAATAAAAAATGCGTTCGAAAAAATTCTTATCAAAAAAAAAAATTATTCGAAACTCAAAGTTACTAATTTTCTACCTATTAATATGCTTATTCTTTACAGAAATACTTTAAACGACTTTTATTTCCTGGTACTCTGTTTTTTTTTTTTTTTTTTTTTTTTTGAAAAACTGTGTATTCGACATAATCATTTATTTAGGCAATAAAATGTATTTTATTTCATCCATTCCATATTCTTGGAAGACTCTTCGCATGCCTCTATCATTTGTCATTTTTTGAATTAATAGTTTTGACGTTAATATTGTTAAAGATCAAAAGACTTTCAAGATTATGTGCTTAAAGATGTATGCCAATAACTTCTGTGAATAATATAATATTCAGAAATAGTGAATTAGATTATCTCATACTGTAGTACGAATTCACATTTTTTTTAAAAAAAATTATCACGCCCAGAATCTGTCACCTTTAATCGTCTAATACAGGTCTTTTTATTAGCGTTAGCTTCAAATAAATTGGCTGGTTTTTAATGTGTATCATTTTGATATTTAGTTACGTAAAAAAAAAAACGGTCTTTTTTTTTCAGAATTAATTACAGAAATCGTTAATCGATATCATTATTTGATTAAACACTGTACGTAATTGTTCTTGGCAGTTATGCTATGTTTGTGGTAGATGGTGAACCAAGTCTATCGCTATGCCAAAATCCAGACCAGATGGCGACTTATTCAGAGTTAGTAACGGATGAATAAATAAGCTCCGGTTATCTGAACGGATGGTTGATAAATGGATACCTTTATGGTAATCGAATTAATTTAGCAAAAAGCGGTATAGTTATTTTAAAAAATTTTAACCACATGATCAAATAATCCCATAATCAATTGGAGACATTTTACCTTTCTGGAGATCTCTGTTAATCTAGCATAAGCAAGATTTTTTCTATTTTATCGACAATGTATAATTTTTATTTGAATTGTGCATATGTTTTCGCACTTGCTAAAATTAATCACTTTGCTGGGCACTTAAATTGAAAAAATTTTTTCTATGAAATTAGAGAATCAGCATTGCGAACATTTTTACATTTTATTAGCTATTTTTGGTCATAGAATAGGGGTCAAAAAATTAATTACCGTAACTTAAAACTTAATTATGTTATACCGACACGGCGAATCCCAACTAAGCCGTAGTTAGTGACGTAAATATTTTTGCTTCCATAATTTTTATTACAACAATTCATTAGTAATTGATCGTTCTTGTGCAGATACAATATTTTTTCTTGTCTTCTATCATTCATATTTGAATGACGATAAAAAGGATATAAGATGGGAAATCTAAAAAGTTACTTTTATTATTATAGATAGATCTGTTGTGGAAAAATTGTTGATAAAAACCCTTGAAATCTTACAAGTGCCATAGGTCGTAGAAAAGTTCAATGACATGGACAACGTCGACGCAGCACCTATAATATCATTAAACACTGGTACACCACAGAATGAGAATCCAGACTCATTCAATATACAAGTAAATAATTCGGAATTAAATGATCAAGCTGTTAATTCTAGCCCTAAATCCTCACTATCTGGAGATCCTACAAACCTTTTTGAAAAACTTAATGAATCGATGAAAGTTCTAGGCAGAATTTTTAGTAGGGATAACGATGAAAAATCTTCCGTCGAACACGATATTGATGTAATGTGTTTTAGTCCAGGGCATGAGTATATTGTAACATGGTGTAAGGAAGATGGTGTACTTGCTGTTTGGACGTTTCAGTTGAATTCAGATAAAATGACCGATATTTTTGCAGTCAAAACACCATTTAATAAAACAAATGTCAAAGATACATCCAAGATATTTTTATCAGTTGAAGAGAATGGTGGACATGCTATAATAACTAATATGTCAATTGTTAGTAAAATCGACGAAACTGTATCTGATGAACCTAACATAGATTTGGAGGATACTATATTCTTAGACAATGTACCAGAAGTGTCATTTGTTATATATTCTACTACCTCTTCTAAAAGTGATTATTCCCGATTAAATTCTCTTAAAATTTTGGGTCCTTTAGTTTTTGTCGGTTATTCACGTTTAGTTTGTTTTACAAAAAGACATATGCATGTGATCTCGGCAAACTCATGGAGTGTAATGTATAGCGTCGATATCTCTCAATTGGTTAATTTCATTCCAGGATACACACACGATAGTAATGAATTTCTCGCAAATGCTTATAAGATACTTGTGAATAGCTTACAATCAGGATCTTTGATTTGTGAAGAAATATCTGGATTTAGTGTTTGGGACTTGGAAGGAACATTAAAGCAATGGTTTTATATAGAATGCCCTTTAGGAAGTAAATATGACAATTTATATGCTATTTCACAACAAGGAAATTTGGTTGCCAGGTATGATAATTGCTAAAAATAACGATTATTATTAGGTCTACATCAAATATTTACTATAATCCTTTGACTTAGATACGAAAACAATCTAACAAAGGGAACGTTGTGTATTTATCACGTTCCTACAGCTCTAGCCGTTTGTAACATTGAAGTTTCAATTTACGTTTTCCACATTTCGTTCTTACAGAAAAAAGAACAAATTTTTGTATGTTTAAAAGATGGTGATGGTGTCACGTTTCAATTATGGGATTGCTGGAGTGGATTAATGGTTTATGAAGAATCTTGTCCTCATTTTGATTATGCTCGACCATTTTTATTTTCTCAAGATATGTTTGTTCAAGCAATTGGAAATGAGCTCACAACTCATTCAATATTTATTGATTATTTACCAATTAGCGCTAAGTCATTGCAAAAACATAGTGTCCTTCCAGATCCCATGTTCAAATTATCTATGGAAGTTGAATTTTTAACAGATAGAAACGTACGTTGGTGTCACATTCGCGATGATGAGAATATTTCACGTCATAAATTCATTCTTGAACCATGGAACAATTCGGATAACCCGGAGGTGTTTTTAGAATGGTTGGATTCGGAGAGGAAACGATTTATTATTGCGGGGAAGCATAGTATGCAGGTTTATAAGATAAACAAAACAAGCAAATTTATGAGTGTCGAATTACAATATATATGGACGGTTCCAATAACACAATGTGCTGATATTCTGTTCGTTTCTTTAGAAAATGTTAAGAGTTCAAAGTATGAAGATGACCAAGAAAAAGTCTTAAAAACTAATATTCGTGTTGAGCTTACCAATAATTACACTGCAATAATTCCTCTCCCTGAAATTGATAAGATAACATATAGGACAGTTGCTGATGCATGCATTGCCCTCAATTTTTTGCAGACTCATCTCGATGATTATAGAAATTATTTTTCTCGATTAGCAATTAGAGATCAATTACGAAAGCTAATTTCTTCCTCTGTCACGCAATATCCATCTGCATTCAACAAAATTGTACTGGATGAAGATAATTTCGTTTACCCTATGAAAGATTTTATTCTTCTCTCATTTGATGATCTTGTGCATAAAGTTTTAGACGCTGACCGGTACATTCCGTTATATCATAACAATGAACAAACTGAAAGTGCATTGTCATTATTGTTAGAACTTCAAAAATCAGAACTTGTAGAACGTCTAATTGCATACATCTTTCGTCATCTACGACAAAATTCAGATAAAGAAGAGGTTCGAGCTAAACAATTGGGATATTCATGGACCATTTGCAATGTTCTATTAGATTTGTTTAAATATTATCCGGACAAGGGAGAATATATTATGAAAGAGTCTAGTTATTTTACAACTTCCTTGGAGACTCCTGCTAGGTTCTTGCCAACCGATTTAGGTGATCCGTTTAAAGAAGAGGAACGTAGTTATAATAATGAATTGGCTACGCTTGTTCGCGATTCTAGATTACCACGTGAGAATTTCCTTGAAATACAAACAAGACGAAACATTTTAAAATTTTTTGGGTCATATTTTCGATCTTATATTTTGGATTTTCTAAAAAATCAAAAAAAGAAAGCAGAGTACGAAAGGCTATACTTGGAAAGAGCACAGAAAACTCATCCAGCGAAACTCTGTGTTGTACCTTGGCCGGATTTCTGTGTTTATCCTTTACCATCATATAAATCTAACTCTCGAAATTTGTGGGAACGTATTAAGAGATTTTGGTCTATTTACGTATCTCCTAATGCTAGAAGTCCTTTCGCTGAGATTGCGTTTAATGGACCCCCAGAAATGTTTGGTGAAATCGCCATGAAAGCTATCATCAAATTCAAGTGGTATGTAATCATTAAAAATCTTCTTTTTACTCATTCAGGATTCTTATCTGATTATTCACGTATATAGGAATAAATTCGGTCGAAGAATATACATAATTTCATTCGCCCTTTACTTAATATACGCGATAATATTTTGTACTGCGATTAGCCTAGCTGATGACCTAGTTCCACCTCCAGAAGGAGTTAGATGGCAAAATCCAGCATTTTCGACTTGTTCGATAATTCCATTCGTTTTTCTGCTTCAAGAATTTAGACAAATGATGGGTCGAACAAAGTATTGGTCACATTTTTTCAATTATGCTGATTTGGCAAGCTATATTTTTCCACTTGCAACTTCTATTATGGTTGTCTGGGTTAGGGAGGAACCTCCACTTTGGTTAAAAAGCTATTCTGTTTTGTTGTTGTGGGTTAATTCGGTATTTATTTATATTGTTTGGCTTCGAAAACAAATGAATATATGCGTTTATGGTTTCTAACTTACGATTCGAACAAATCTAGTTATTAAAAATGCGAGCGTTTTCGGGCCCAGGAGAATTCATTGCAACCACCGTAGAAATTTTCAGTAAAATCAAAATATTGTTAGGTACATTGATGTTTGTTGTTCTTGTAAGTATTAAAAATGCCAATCATATGTATATTATTATTTCAAATAATTCTATCAATTCTTTTCTCAATAAAATAGGCCTTTGCAAATTCTTTGTTTATCTTACTTCGCACCATGCCTCAAGAACAATTAGTCCCATCATATCAAGGAGTAATTAATTCTGCTTCTGGAGGTATAATAGGAAATATTTCAATGATTCAAATACCACAGGAAGGAACAAATATGTGGACGAGATTTGAACAGTCAATATTCGCTACATATTCTTTCTTGGGAATTGGTGAGCTTTTATTTGTAGTATTTTTTTTTATTTTTGGCTTCAAACAACAAAATATAATATTTTCGTTTCAACATTACAGGATGGTCTGCTGTCGGGGCATTTGACCCAACCTTTTCATTAGCTATTATGGAAATGCTCTTTAGTAAGATCCTAATTATATATTTATTTATTTATTTATTCACTATTATACCGATTAAATCTTTTCATTTTCTTGTATCGTTAATATAGGTTTTATTGCAGTAATTATGCTTCTAAATCTACTTATTGGTATGCACTTAAAAATAAAAATAAAAATAAAACAAAGACTGAAGTATACATTTTTCTTATTTAATATCTAACCAATAAACGTTATTTTCAACTTTCTATAGGTTTCATGACTGAATCCTTCAAGGATTCAGTAAAAGAAGCCCGCCGAGCACACCTTCGTCAACGAGCACAAATAATAGCAGAAATAGAACTATTTCTATTAGCCACTTCATATCGTTATAATTCTGATTGGTTTCCACATTTGATATATTATGAAGCTCACGCTGACTCAGTCGTCAGGTGGAGACGTAAATTGGATGAAGAATCCGGTGAAGTTAATGTTAACTTTATTAAAAATGAGATAAAATCTCTCAAGGCCGAATTGCAAAACGAGTTGAATAATTTAAGGAATATCATCATAAATAAACCAGAAATTAAATAATCTAACTGAAAAATGTTATATTACAAAAAATATAATCTGACACGTAAAGTTGTCAATTTTTAATTGATGTACGTACGTACGTAGTTTCAAAAATTGTAAAATAACGTACGTACAGTACGTACATACGTCATATTTTAATCGGTATAATTTTACCGATCGATAATAAATTAAAAAAAAAGCAATTTTATTTATTATTTTTTTATGCTATATTTAATGTAGTTTGGCTTCTTTAAAGTATTGGTTTAAATAATGGACAACACTATACAGTGCACCCTGCACTTTGTGCACCTTCCTATAAAATTTCTATAAAATCGCTAATTTCTCAAAATTTTGACTAGGTAACCCCTGTCATATAACATAAGCAAAAATGTTCCTCACGCAATTTTACCTTACCCTAACCCTAAACCTAACTTTAATTCTAACCTTGCCGGCTCAATTTTGCTATAGGGTGCACAAAGTGCATAGTGCACTGTTTAGATTTTTTCTAAATAATTGTCAAAAAGTATTATGATTGAGATTTATTTTTAAAAATAAATGCTAGTATTTTTATTTATTTATTTTTTTTTGTAAGGCCTTGCTCTTATCTTTATTAGTAATTTTTAAAATAGAAACTACACGAAGTTGCTAACCTTTATATACACCAAAGTGAATAAAAGTAAAAATTACATGCAAGAATAAAAGCTCAGACTACTTTATCTGTGATCTAAATCTACTAAAGTAATTTACCTAGATTTGAATGTTTAAAATATAGTTTATAGATGTATTATATTGATCCAATAGATGGACCAGAAATTAATTTTAGAAATAGTTTAACCAAATGATGAGCAGTTGGTCAGATGCACCACAGGAGCAGGAGTATGTATTGTAATGTAACAAGTTAGACCTATGGTTAACAAGTTACCTTACTTGACTAAGTGTACAAGTAGTTAAGAAATGTGTTTATATAATTTATAGAAGAAAATAGTTTATAAATAAGAGAAAATATTGTCGACTTATTG